AAAAATGGACATAATTCAATGATTTATTTTTATATTCTTTTTATTATTATTTATTCATCATTTACATTGATGTTATTTTAATTAAATATCCATAATACATAATAACAAATATGAGAATTAAACAATACAAATATAAAGATTGATTTAAAACACAAAAAGATTTGTAAGAGTTGATAACAGTAAGTTTACTAAATATGAAATGTATAATGAAAATGTATAATGAAAATGTACAAAAACTAATAAATTGAAATAAACTAAAAATTGAATAATTTATTTCATAATTCATTTAATATACTTCCATTTATTATTCTTTATTTTTTATTTAATTTAAGTTTTAAACATTCAATAAATCAACTATTAGCATATTAAATTCGATATATTCATTATTTCTGCCTATTTTGTTAATGTTCATATTATTTTTATATTGAATTATATATTTATAATGAAGTTATAGTATATAATACATTTATTATAATTCCAATAATACCCCATATGTTAAGATTATTTTATACACTGTATTATTATTATAGTAATGTGTTGTGTGTTATTATTTGAGTGCCATTAATTAAATTCATAGATATATTTTTATTGGTATTATGTTATTAAATTGATTAATGTTATTGTATCAACATTTATCCATTGGAATTATATTCTTTATTAAATTTATAAAATATATTTTTTGAAGTATTTAAATAAAAATATTTGTAGAATATTCTATGGTGTTAAATAGAAAATGATATTTTAAAATTACAAAAAAAAATTAAAATACATTAAATAACGAAATACTAACACAAAGAGGAGAAAAATGTTTACAAAAATAATTAGTTAAACTCTTTTGATGTGAAAAAAAATGAATTAAAATTTAGTAATTTGATACAATAATAAAAGTCATTTTGAAGGATCATAAAACAATGACACACCTAATTCATCTTCACTTATTTTACTACTTGTCAAACTTTGTTGATTTGGAGTTGTTGTTTTAGAGTCAGGGAGAGGTAAACTTGGACTAGTGAAAGGAGTAGAGATATATTGTATTTGTTTAGTTCCTTTTCTTTGAGTTAAAGAAGGGCTATTAATAGAGATATATTTTGTTTCCATAACTGAATTCTTAAAATCTAATTTTAATTGATTTTTTTCTTGTTCACGTTTTTTTGCAAAATAAGCATCAAGTTTTTGTTTATTTGCTGTATTAATTGATGTAATATTTTCTGGCTGTTTTTGTACTTCATTTAGTCTAAGCATTGGAGTTGTTGATTCTATCATCTCTTTATCAAATAAAATATAATCATCATTATCAGTTCTTTTACGTAATTCAAAGTATCGAACTCTTTCAGTAAGTTCTTTATTATATTGATTTAATACAGCAATTTCTGAGTATAATGAAAATATATCAGTTTGTTGTTCAATAATTGTTCGTTGTAATTTCATAAATAAATCCATAATTGATGTTGTAGAACTTATATATTCATCTTTTAAAATTCTTAATAACCGTGAAGTTGTTTCTGGTAACAATGCACATATTTGTTCTGAATCTTTAAAAACCATATTTTTAATATCTTTAGTCATTTTAACAGTAACTTCCCATTTTACTTTAGGTTTTTTATCAGTAAATGTTTGAATAACATTATTTGTAATCCAACTAACTACATTTGTTTTAATTATTTCAGCAAAATTTTTCATTGATACTTGCCATGAACTATCTTCTTTTAAATCATTAGATAACATCCATTTCATAATTAATGAAATCGATTTTAATGTTGGAATAATTCTATCACTATTTTTATTTGGTTTTGAAGTAGCAATAGTAGAACCAATATATCTATTAAAAATAATGTTTATAAGTACATTAACAGTAGCTGTTGGATAAATTTCAGTAATGTGAGAACCAATAGTTGTCATAAAATATTTAAAAGAACTATAAAGTATTAATAAATTTATTAAAATAATTAATAAAATAAACAAACTCAGGTAATTTTAAATCAAATATCTTTGTAAAAAAAGATTCTAAAATTTCTTGGACTTTCTTTAAATCACTTTGAGAATATTTAACTGAGGAATCTAAAAGATTTAATTGAATATTTTTCTTTGTTACTTGGTCTAATAATTTCTCAATACTATCTTGAAAAACATCTTTTACATCATAGTCCATATAAAGTCGAATTATTTTATTGTAAATAGAATTTCTTTGAAACATTAAATTTGGATTATGAATTTCTGCAATTTCTTTAATTGACACCCATTCCATTAATTCTAATACTTTACCATTAACAACAAAGAAATAAAAAATTGCTTTCATATTTCCATCAATTTCTTCTTCACTTAAATCTCTACTACAAAAATGTTTAAGTACTCCTGATAATATATCTGGTTCTAATGATAAGAACACTTCCTCAAATGTAGGAATTTTAAGTTGTATATCTTGGTTCATTAGGAAGGGTTCACTTAAAAATAAGTTTATTTTATGATATTTTTGTTTTTTTTTTTGTAAGCTATATATATTGAACTAATCTACTACTCAAATTGTCCTCTTCTAAAATAGATTTTGTTGTGTTGGCTTTTTTTTAATAACTATTAATGTAACTTTGTTTTATTTTTTCAAATATTTATTTCTCGTTTTTGTATATTTATTATCGTTTTTCATTTCGCCTTCAATTTTGTTCCTTTAATTATCATTTTGTTATTTAATATTTGTTTTTATTCAGATAGTTAAATTAATTTTTCTTTAAAATTCCAGTTCTATATTTATTAGGAATTTAAAACACGAATTAAAGGAGTGTAGAACATGTAGAAGCAAAAAGAATTTGAAACACTTCTTTTTCTAGTTGTTTCAATTTTATTTTCATTTACTTGCTTTTACAAACTCGGCATAAAATAAATAATGTAACCACGTCATTTTTATCTGAATGAACAAATGAAAAGATAAGGAAATATTAATTCTTCTAGTTTATTCAAAGAATTTTTCAATTCTATCCCCTTCTAAGGAGAGAGTTTCATTGAAAGAAAAGAGAAGATCTATCTACACTGTTCAATTTTCTCTTTTTTAACTCGACTTGTTATCGCTATTAGCAACTAATCTAATAAAAAGAAAGGACGTTTTGTTTCAATGAACGTTGTAATAAAATATGTCTCATTAATATTTTCTAATTTTCCAAGGTCTTGCGTCACTGGTTTCTTATTTAATTTTGCTTCATACTTTTATTGGCTTGTTGTCCCATTAAAATGTGTTGATATGGGTGGTTCAACGTTAGACCTTTCTTTATTACAAGTAGTTGCTTTTGTTATTTATTCAATTTTATCTCCTTTTTGTGGTAAAATAGGAGACAAATTTAATCCTTTTATAGTTATTAGGATAGCAATGTGTTTCTTTGTTGTTGCAGTTGCTCTCATTTTAATTTTCCCAGAGAAGTTTTTTGTTCTTTATATTTCTGTAGCAATTTGGCCTTTTTGTACAGCTTTTTATTGGCCAGTAACTACAGGAACAGTAGGATTTGAAGCTCCAATAGGTTGTGAGAATAGAAATACTTCACTATATCAGGTTTCATGGTCAATTGGTAAAGCCCTAGGATTTTTATTTGGTGGAATGTTAAAAGGGGCATTAGGGACTAATGCCTTGTATATTTGTATTGGTATTGTAGTAGTTAATATGATACTTTATCCATACCGTTATCCAAAAAGAATTCGTGATAAGTTAAATGCATTAAAAAATAAAAACAAAAAAGAAGAAAAAGAACCTAAAGATGTTCATGTTGAGGTTACAATGGTTCCACACAATGAACATGAAACTGATGATGTAGAAATTCCTACTGAAATGTTAAATCAAATTAATGCAGGAAAGTCTATTGAAGAAATAAAAGAACAACATAAAAACACACAACAACCTCAAGAAGAAATAAGTGATTTTAAGAAGTTAAGAATTAAATGGAATTCTCTTGATTTAAAGAATAAAACTTATATTTATCTTGGTTATATTATGCAACTTGGTGTTTATGGTACTTCTGCAATTCTTTCTAATTCATATGTAACTTTAGCTAAAGACAAAGATATTACTATTCCATTTGGACAAAACCCTGTTGAAATGTATATTGGTATTCTCTTTTTCTGCTATTTTATAGCTCAAACACTTGTTATGTCAGTAATGTCTTTCTCTACATTCTGGGTTTATTTAAGGAGTTTATTCTTATTATTCCAATTCTTTTATTTAATGTTTTTGATTACACTTGGTCTTTCTGCTCAACCATATGTTAATTGGTTCTTAGCTTTTATGGGTGGTTTAGCTGGTGGATTTGCATATCAAACATCAACATATTATTCAATGCGAGCAAGTGAATCAAGTAAATCAATGTTTGTTGGAATTAGTGAATGTGTTGGTGGTTTAGGAAATGCATTATTACCTTTAATAAGTGGATTATTATGTACAGGGTTCAATGATAATTATGTTCAAATCTATATTGCAGTAGGCTTTGTGATTGTTTGTATCATTCTCCAAGAATTTGTTTATCATATTGGTTATTTTATCAATAACAAAAGACAAGCAAAACGAGCTGATCCCACTGCAGGTTATCATGAATATACTCCAGACCAATCAAAGAATGTTTCAACACCTCAACCATCAACTGTTTCTGAATCAAGACAAAAAGGAGATGATTTAACTAATGTTAATTCTTTAAATACTCAACAGATTGAAATGGAACCAAATTAACTTTTACTTCTTGTTATTTATTCTTTTAAACTTCTTTATTTTGTATTAAATAATAAATCACTTAAAGT